CGCCTTGTCTCCTCTCAAAGGCGGAGCGGCGCGATTCATTGAACCGGCCCAACAGCCAACCGAGTGGTGAGGAAATAGGTCAGGCAATGGCGCTTTCCTTCCTCTCCGCCATCTGCCTACCAGGCTCGCCGCCGGTTTGATCCAAACAAAAACCCGAGCCCCTAAACAGCAACGCCCAAAGGGCGGTAACGGCAGCCGGGCGGGCGGGCGGGGGGAGTTCCGAGCCTTCGCTGCTTCAGGCGGAGTTGATTCCGCGCCTTCTACGTTTTCCCGGGCAGTGTCACGCGCCCGCCCGGCCGTTCCCGGGCTTGGCTTGACTTGGCTTGGCTTCCACAAGTTGCCCCGGAGTGCAGGGCCGTTCCTTCTGCTCAGCTTACGCATTTGAAAAGACCCCGCGGTTTCACGTCCACAGCCGATCCCTGCCTCGCTTGGAGGCGTGTCCCAGGACGGGAAAGGTAGGGCAGTTCGGCGCAACGGGCCCGTCTTGGCCTGAAAAAAGTTCTCCTCCTTCCGGGGAAAGCGCAGTGGCGTCCCGGCGGGTTTCCAGCAGGGAGTTTGCTTCTTTCCTTCCCTTCTTCCTCTACCATCTGTAGAAACAAGTTTCGTTTCCGTGTACGAAGCAGTGGAGAAGAGCTCTTGGCTCTTCCTTCTTTCTGCAGGCCCCCTTGGAGGAGCACCACCACCAGCCGATATCCACATTATAGATGCTACTAAGTTTGCTTACACACCCCATGCTCAGTTCTTCAGTGGTTACCGTTTTGATGGTCCCTTTTTTATTTATATTTCTTGCTAGATTCAAAACTGCCCTGTCTTCTTTTTCTTTGCCTCCTCATAAACAGGTAACTACCTTGAAAGCCGAGTGTTTGTATTTCTTTACAGATGAAGTGTGTCCTTATTTCCACTGAGGGTGCTGAAGTTCTTTTCTACTGGGCAGATCCAGACTTTTTGGCAATCCTACACCAGCGATTTGGAAACCAGGATCAAAATGGTGATGAAGTAAGATCTGAAGAGTACAAATTAGTACAAATGCAGGAGCAGGAGATTGATGCTCTTGAGTTCAGCTCCATTTAGAAATTGTAACTCTTGAAGCATTAGAGCAGCAATTCTCAACCTGTGGGTCGTGACCCCTTTGGGGGTCGATCGACCCTTTCACGGGTCGCCTAAGGTCATCGGAAAAGACATATGATTAGAGCAAGTGTACCTAAGGTTTCTTTGGATGCCAAAATGGCAGTCTGCCAGCTTTTGCAGGCCCCAGAGCCCCATGCGAGTCGATGGAGTCAAATGTTTTTAGGCCTGTTTCTACAGTATATGTTTTGTAGTTCAGGGGATTAAAGAGCACAATGGGTCCTTTAAGCCTTGCCAAATCACTCAAGAAAGGAGTAGTCGCCCTGTAAACTTTTGATATATTGCTTCTTGGTCTGCTGTGCATGGCCTAATGTGGTTAGGTACATTAATAGTTAGTTACATGTTCCTGTTTAAGTGATTATGTATAACTTCTTGGAAGGATATTCAGTTTCTGCTAGTCCAAGATATGTGTGCTAATTGGAAGATATGAATATTTGCTGATTTTCCTTCTTTTCATAGATACCATCTGTGGAAGACAGCATCAACACATTGTTTGCCCCCATCATCATTTCCTGTGCAACTATGCTAGAAAAGTTAGAAGACACATACACTTGCTTCTCTGCTGAAAATGGCAAGCATCTCTATGTGCTGCATATGGTAATTACTCACTGCTCTGTATTACAAACAGTTGGTGAACTTCTAACAAGAAGGGGACAAATATAGTTTAACTCCTCCAAACTTGAAGGGAGGAGAGGGCTTTCCAAAAGGGATTTCTTGTCTGCAGGGCCAGAGAGGTTAATAATTGTTTGCAGAGCAAGTGAAAGGTCTACGTGGAAGCACATTAAATATCTTCATTCTCCTTGAAGATCTAATTGGTGTGGGAGGACGCTAAATACATGCTTTCTTAAAGTTGGCTGTCCAGGGCTGTAACTAAGGCCCAGCAGAAGAAGGCTAGTAAAAGGGAACTCCCAGTTGAGATCCAAATACATCCGAGGATATGTAGTTGAACAGAAAACTTCACATTTGCTAGTTCTCGTGTAATGATGGTAATTGGGACTGGCATCTCCATTGCTAACGCTTGCTGTTGTTAGGCAAATCCTGCATGGTCACAGTGTCCTACAGTCAGATGGTCGCCATTTGCAGCCTCCTGCTGGTTTCCCCATTGGCTTTGCCAGAAGCCAGCAGTAAAGATCAGAAATGGCAATCCCATGACCATGGGATGTGATCATAATGTGAGCTGGTTGGCAAGTGTCGGCATCACAGTCATATGACCCTGGGACAATATAATGGCTGCACGTATGAAAAACAGTCCTCTCAATCAGTGACATCATAACTTTGAACAGTTGCTAAATGAGCGATCACGGAACTATCTGTATTCTTTTCCTTATCTTTTAGTTTCAGTTTTGAAACTAAACTTGTTTTTTTATAAAAATAATTTATAAACGTCATTTTTTGTCAACCACGAGTCAAATGTGCCCTGGAAGCAGTATATTGTAGACTGGACACTTTTTGATAAGTCTCAGACAATGTTTTCTAAAGTGGCTCAGTGACTTTAACCATTATCAGTGAACTGCCTTTGACTTCAAACATGGTTTATTCAAAAATAAAAATGTGCTTAGAGTTTTGGAGCAGTAAAAAAGGGTTTTAAGTAACATTAGTTTTGTGGTAAATGTTACCAGTAGCATATTGTTGGTTTTGTTTTCTTGTCCTTGTAGCTGATGCAGTTCTGTAGGTGTGTCTTGCTTGTTTTTCAGTTCGGTGAATGCCTGTACATTGCCATGAATGGAGATGGCGGTGAGACTGAGGATGACCTGCGCCGTCAGCTCTACGTGCTCAGAAGATTGACTGAGGCTCACTTTGGCCTGGTTACACTGGACAGCCACCTCTTCCATCGGGAGTGAGTGACTGAGTGAAGATGGGATTTTTGTTTTGCTGGATTTTTCATTGTGGCCTTTTCTTGGGTGGAACATCAACCATGCTTTTTATATGTTGTTCTTCAGCTCTACTAACATTAAGCCTCTCTTTTGTAATTGTGCTAAGTGACACGAGGGCAAGATTTTCTTTTTCATTTTCCTCACTCTTGGAATTTAGACTTGTATAAATGTTGCACATTAGTAATCCTGCCATGCTGCTGTAATATAATGTTTATCAACTTTGACAACTTTAAGATTTTTGGACTTTAACTCTGAAAATTCCCCAACTAGGAGGCTGGCTAGAGAATTCTAGGAATTGAAGTCCATATGTCTCGAAGTTGCCACAGTCGAGAACCATTGCTGTAATACAACTGTCTGGCCATTGGTAGTTTTACACATTGTAATTTTCAGATACGCCATGTTGGGATTACCAGCTTCGTGAAAGCCAGTCTAATATATTCTCTAATGCATATCACCTATTTGTCAGAAGTTAGTCATAAGGTTCTGAGACAGAAAAGTTGGCATTACTTATAATTGATAGGCAAGAACGGCAACATAAAGACTTGTATGTTTATGGTACTTATCAAGAGCTGTGTTGTATTGCTTGATATATTAAGAAAGACTGAATAGTTGGATTAAGGATAATGTCTGTGGGACTGCAATAGCATTTTCCACTGTAGATAGAAAGGGGGACCAATGGCAAAGTATGGAGGGGAAGGTGATGAAAGGGGAAATTAGCCTTGGCTATTCTCAGCTGATTGGCTGGGTTTTGGTTTTTTTTAGACTTCGCCCAGTAGAAACTGAACAACGAGCTCACATCTGGGGGCTTTTTCAGAGCTTGCTGGAGACTTATAACCAGCTGCGTGTGGAAGACCAGAGTTTTGCTGTAGAGGTAAAGTGGAGTGGGGTTGCTGAAATGCTTGTGAGATGCATCATTTGAAGAATGGAGATGGGATGAAGGAATTTATCCTACATTTGTTTAGAGGAATTTGAAGGCCCATAAGCTCCAGAGGCAGGAGTGGAGAGGCTTTTCAAATATAAACATCCTTCTGCTCATCTTTATCAGGCTGTAGAGCGGCTGATCCATCCACAGCTGTGTGAACAATGTATTGAATTCTTGGAGCGTCAAGTTGTACAGTACATCAATAGCAACACTGAACGTGCTGGACATGAAGTAGTGCATGCTTTCCTGCTCATACACACTAAACTACTTGCTTTTTACTCCAGGTAAAATCCTAGTTCTCTTCAGTCATCTTCTGCCTAATGCAGGTGCCACTTCCCCCAACAAAATATTTAATGCTTCCCACTATATGGACTTTCTCCTCTAATACTTGCCATTGTTTGGGCCTCCAATTTGCTTTCTGTGTCCCTTTGGGAAGTTAGTATAGGGCTTCCTTAACAATTACATTCTTTTTCTCGGGGGCGCTTTGTTTCCAGCCGGAATGCCAGCTCTCTGCGACCAGCTGACTTGCTCACTCTGCTCCTGATTGTGCAGGATCTATATCCCAGCTCTTTTAAGGACCAGCCTGTTCCTGAAGTGCTTGGCCAGGTAAAGAAATAACTATTTCATATAAAGGGAATAAGAATCTCTTGGTCTATCCTCCTCTTCTTCCTTTCCTCTTTCTGAGAATCCCTTTGACAACTGTTTTGGGATGGTATGTCAAAGTAGAATTAGATAGAAACAGAATTCTGTGATAGGGATCTTGAATTAAAAACCTTTATTTATTTAAATATTTATGTGCCCAATACAGAGATATATGCTTTTCTTTTATACTTTTCTTCTGGAGGCTTGAGTCAATAACATGCACAAGCACTCCCTTCTCCAGTTTTTCTCTTAACAATAAAAGGCATTAGGCTGCAAAATAGTGACTGATCAAAAGTCTTCTGATGAGCAGTTTTGGCTGAGAATGAACTTAAATCATTTATTGAATGACAATGTTAGTTAATGATTAGACTGTGGAACTAGAATTCAGAAGATTATTTCAAACCCTCATCAGTTGTAAATGTCATTGATATTCACTCAACCTATCTAAAATGAAGTTGAAAGATACAATCAATATATGTTACCCTAAGCTCTTTCAAAGAAGAATGGGATGAATGTGACAGTTTCTATTTATAGTCTTAGCTCCTGTAACTGCTTATTTTCCCATGTTTTTCTACTATTTTAATTTCCCACAGGGCTACAAAATTAAGTTATGATTAGGCATTGTGAGAAATTAAACACTGGAAAATAGCTTTTTATAGTGGAACTGGATGCTGATGCCAAACCTGTCTGTTCAGCCTATAGAGGGAGAAATAAATCTTCAGAGACCTCAAAGCAGTGAGAGTATTCCAGTGAACAGTCCCCTTTACCACAGCACTTCTGAAGAACAGGTGAGTACTGGACGGTACAGGTGTGACCTTTCAGGTACTTATTGTGGATTTGGGCGCTGGGTGTGGACTGGATTTCAAAAGTTTGAATAACTAGAAAACAAGAAAGCTTCTCTGAGGTTTGGGACGAGCCGTATGAGATCCATTATTTGCCAGGACTAGTTAATCTCTGTTGCACACTATAAGAATTTCTTCAGGGGCATAATGGGAGGAAGCCATGCTGAGCTCTGGCTGAGTCAGTTCCCTTCCACCTTCCCTCAGATAGCAGATGATCTTTCTATGCCTGAAGAGTTCTTCACCCCCAAGGCTTCCCCTAGCCAACAGAGCACGGGTGAGTTTGGGATCAATTGTGGAGAACATTGAGATGAAACTGGAGAATGAGGGGCATTCTGTTTTGGCTCTGAGTAGGGCTCTTTTCGGAAGAAGTGGGTTGCATATTAATTGGCTGTAGTAAATGGCAACTGCTATTATCTTGCCTGCCTTGCTTGCTTGCTTGCTTACTAGGGACAGACCTCTACTACAATTGTGACATTAGAAAAATAATAACCTAAAGCTGAGAAAACCTGTGGAAAAAGGGATAGGTATTGCTCCAGATCCTTGGATTGGATAGCGATGGTCAAAATCTCTTGTGCTAGTTGCTGTCTTTTTTATTTCTTTTCCATTCTTGGAGGTAAGGGTATCTTGGGTGCTTATAATGACTATCTACCAGTAGTTATTATGCAACTATTCCATATTTATTTTTAATGGATTTTTGTGGAAAAAAGAAAATACATGAGAACACAGAGGCTCCAAGTAGAAGATGATTGTGACTGAACATGTCAGCAAATTTTTGTATTTAAGGCAGAGACAAGAATATAAGAAGGCTCTGTTTGGAAGCACTTTTAGACTCTCTTCTTTTTTTGCTATCTGAAGGAAGTGCCTGGACTGAAGGTGTGGATTCACAGAGCGATGGAGAGGTAAATTCTGCTGATTTCTTGGTAAGTACTTGGATTAGGGTTGGTAGCGTTATAATACATTTTTGTACTTTCATCTTTTGGGGATTTACTCTTTCCTACACTTTTCTCTAACCTTCATCTTTTTTATCACCAAAGCAGAAATGAATTTAAGGTTCCCACCACTGCCCTTTCCATGAGCCAAGCCTGTAGCATAGGCTTGCGTTCACCTGTTGTCCCTATATGAAGAAAAGAATAAGATGGAATCTCTCAAACTCTATAAAACTCCACAAAAGATAAAATGTAGCCATAGAGAAATTCATCAGTGGAAGATGGAGAGAGGCTATGGACTATTCTGTAGTGAATCAAAGAGTTCAGGACAGAAGAGATAACAAGGGATTTTTTTTAGTAGTAGCTTTCCCAGGCTTGATATCCCCTAGATGCATTAGGCTACAATCTCCATAATCTTCAACCAATATGGACAATCCTCCTGGCTAGAGGATTTGGGGAGGTTTGTTCTGTGATATAAAACATACTTCAATTTTGTATAATATAGATGGATAGTCTACCTATCCTGATAAGCACCCTCCAACCCAATTCTTTTTTGTCCTGGAAGAATCATTTAAGCTTTGAAAAGTTGCCTTATCCTAATTTAAAAAACAAACTCTGGGTAACTGTTCTGTTGAAATCTGTGTATATCAATGTGAGGGAGAAGTGTGGGAAAGTTAGCTTCCTAGAACTCAGTTCTGACACATATCTGCCTCCTTGTGATCTGCTCTCTCTGCATATTCCCCACTTCTTCAAATTGTCATTAGTTGGAGCTATTGCTTTACATTGCCATCACAAATTCAAAGTAATAGCGGATTATCTTGGCACATCCTTAAATCATAATGAAACAAGCAGTCTTGGAACAGTATAAATATATACTGCAGTTCATTTTATTATAATTCCATGACACCTATACATTTCCTTCCTAGCTGGCTGAGGATTTGCTGCATGTTGTAGAATCCCCAGCCTCAGAAGCTACAGGAAGCTATCAGAAGCTATCCGCACGGAGAATATTTCTGGATGTCAACTTGAAAGAAGGCTACTGCCCCATGATGCCACACACAATGCACTGCCTTTCACTCTGGCCAGGCATCTTATTGGTACTTCTCACAAAGGTGAACAGAATCCACAGACGTTCAATTGATACCACCCAGACTGGTGGTATTCTGAGTGTCCGCCCTCTAAATGCCCACCCTCTTTGCCTTCTAGAACCCCAGTTCCCAAGTGGCCCTTTCTCTCTACCAATTGCTGGATGGAATCCTGATGATAGAGAAGAAACTGAAAGAGGGACAGGAGAGCCGGCAACCTCTGCGTTCTCAGCCATTATTTTTGGAACTCCGACATAGAATGGACAAATTTGTCAAGCGGTTGGGTGGACAAGAATCACAGGTAAAAATTAAGTTCATCTATACAGAAAATGAGTAGTGTTAGTGGATGTTTTTGCTCAATATGAGGAGGGGTGGGCTAATTACTGATAAAATCTCATCCTTCAGTATGTGATAGAATTGAGTAGAGCAGGGGTGTCCAACCTTGGCAACTTTAAGACTTGTGGAC